GTTCAGGACAACTGATTTGATGGTAGTGTGAAGGGCAATGTGTAAGGGGGCATGCTTGGGATGGAGTGGGGTGGTGGTAGTGACCTATGTCTCTGGCCAGGACTCTAGCAGGCAGAGTGGGGAAGCAAGGCAGATCATAGAGGGGGCATGGGCAAAGGTCTGAAGCAATAGTGAGCTGCTCCCACCCCCATGTTGTGGATGGGGGGGCAGGCAGCAGGGCGAGATCGGCGGGAGGATGGGCTGGCGAGGGTCCCCCAAGGCACTGGAACAGAGCCTCACTCCAGAAGCCTGATGGCCGTGTGTTGGGGTGCTCAGCTCCAGGAGGCTCTCTCCACTGAGCTCGTGATGCTGCTGGTTGGATTTCAACTCTCTCACAAACCCCCAAACCAACTGCCAGAGTTGATTTTGACTGAGAGCTGAGAGGATGGGGGAGAACTGTACTGTGGGTTTCCAAGACCGTGGAGCTTTGGGGGAACAGGAACCCCATGTTTCTCCTGAAGAGCACTTGTGTTTCAACTGCTGGCTTTGTGGTGGACAGTCCAATACAAAAGCACTGTGCCACCAGGCTCCTCAGCTTCCCTTGAGGTTGTCAAAGAGACTAGGGTTCATTTGCACCCACAGACTTCACGTGCTTCTGAGACTGCACTCGTCTTCTGGGCTGTGACCACAGAGGCACACTGCTGGGCCTTTCTCCCTAGGCACTCCTGAGTGGATTAAACTTAAGACTTTTCCATGTAGAAGTCTAGATGAAATTGTATCACACAGGACCTTGTAAGCAAGGGTAAACCCAAGACCAAAGTCAATTCCATCGAGTTGGTTCCAACTTCTAAGGTGTGATACCTGAGGAGGAAAACCGATGCTATTAGCCTAAGTTGACTAGAGAAACAAATCCAGAGGCACTCGTGTGTAAGAGAGAGCTTTATATCAAGGAGCAATTGTACACTAAAAAACACATCCCAGCCCAGCCCAGATCAAGTCCTTAATTCTGGTATTAGCCCATGTCCCATACTAGTCCACGAATTCCTCTTCAGACTAATGCAGCCATGCAATGATGCTGAAGTCAGGAAGATTACAGGACACAGGGTTGAACGTCTTGTGGATCCAATGGCAGTGGACGCATCTCCAGGGCTCTGGCTGTCATCAGCATAGCTCCATGTGACTTGTCAACAGGAAGGGGAAGCAGAGAAAAATGTCCCACCTCCAAGGGAGGGAGGTTCCCAGAATTTTCATGAGGCCATGGCCACATTCCTATGTAGGTCTAGTGGCACAATAAACCTAACTATCACAGGTACCTCAACAGCACAGTGGATTAAGCCAGGGCTGCTAACCCAAGGTCAGCGGTTTGAAACCACGAGTTTCCCTCAGGTAGAAAGACAAGATTTTCAACTCCTGTGAGGAATTCCATAAACCCACAGGGGCAGTTCTACCTAGCCTACCAGGGTCTTTGAGTCAGAATGTGGAGTTACAAGTGGAATTCTGGATAAAGAGGTTGGCAAGATCCCTAAGTCCACTTGGCACACTGGCTACTCATAGTGAAGCTATGGCATTCTGACTTTCATAACCTGATCATGGCAAGCGTTAGGTTCCTCATGCTTTCTCCCAGACCCCACATGTACAAGGCCGGATTGTCTGGAAACACTTGTGAGCCAGATACACACATTACTCATACTATGATTAATAGAACCAAACCTAACTCTCATGTCTACCGAGTCAATGCCAATTCAGCCACCCTGTAAGACAGGTACATGAGTAGAAAGCCCCGTCTTCCTCCTGGTGACTGTGACAGGTTTGATGTCACTTTGGTTGGGCCAGGTATCTCCCATGACAAGATATGGCACGGTGTGATCAGCTCCATGATGGGACCGTGTGTGAAGCAGCCAAGCAGTTGTGGGGAGAATAGGGTGGAGTACCCCTCCTTAATCAGGTCAAGGCACTGATACAAAGGAAGGAGGGTTCCCTCAAAGTGTGGCCTCCTCTTAGATTGACAGTGTGTGAAAGCTAGCCCACTCCTGCTGCTGGACCTGGATCCTGCTTCTCTGACCTCCTGTTACACCACTTGCCAACCCCATGAGCCATCAGTGGACTGCTGACCTTGATTCATTCTATGGGTATCCACCAGCCTCTGGGCTTCCTGCTTCCTGTCCATTACACTTGCGGCTACCAGAGTCAGGAAATGCTTCCAGCCGACATCTGACCCATAAGGTTCAACTAGACTGGCCTTACCCACTTCTATAACAGTGTGAGCCAGTCTTGAAATAAATCTTTCTATATATATATTCATCACACGTCCTTTGGACATGTTGTCAGTAGAGACCAGTCCCTGGAGCAGGACATCATGCTTGGTAGAGGGGCAGTAAAGGGGAAGGCAGGCCCTCAGTGAAATGCACTGACACCATAGCTGCAACGCTGCGCTCAGGCATGGGAACGGTTGTGATGGGGCAAGGCCCGGGCGGTGTTTCATTCTTTTGTGCATTATGGTCGCTATGGGTTGGAGCCGACTGGATGGTACCTAACATATACATACAAGCATCGCTGGGTTTGGTTACCACAGGGACTTAAAAGGAGAAAGTTTCTGAATTGAAAAGTAAGACAAGACGCCTGTGCAGCATGTCACGATGCCATCCACTCTCTAAACTGGCATGGCAGAGACATGTAATGATAAAAGGTTTACATCTACCATGACCTTGACACACCAGTGATGTCATCAATGACCTCTTCAACTCTAAAAAGACAGTATCAGGTGCATTTCTGACATTGACTTGCCACTGCTGTGCAAGGTCAATGTACAAAAATTGCATCCAAGCGTTCAACTTAGGTGTATTTCTTGCGAGAAAACTGAGGCAAGAGGCCCCTCTCTAAACTCTGCCAGGAGATCTTGCTAAGAAACAAAGATCGGCAAAGAGCAGAACACGAGTAGAGGGATGCACACCTAGGCTTATTGCAGCCACTTCGACTGTAGCCAAGGACAGAAACAACCAAAACCTCGGGCTAGGGAGGAATGGATAAGCAAACTCTGGTACCTTCACACAACAGAACATCACCTGCCCATCAAAACCAGTGATGAGTCTGTGGTGCCAGGCACCTGAAGGCAATGACGAAATCAGAGAACAGAATGCTTAGCAAAATCAGTCATCTCATAACTATAAAAGGAGAAATGGATTTCACACCCAAAGGAGCAAAGGTTAAGATTTTAAAGACTTCGATGAGGATGCGGCATGCATGGGGGTGGGGGTGGAAAGGGGCAGGAAACTATGGCAGGGGGAGGAAAGATACTGCTTTGACGAGATGGGTTGTACAACTACAGAAGTATGTTTTTCTTTGTTAAGTATTATATCCTACAAGCATTAGGGGAAACTATATAAATAAAAACAAAATTAGAGAGCGAAGGGTCATGAACTTAAAATCCCTCCAGATTCCTTACCCATTTGATCTAAACATTGCTCTCCGTGGCTTAACCGGATGGACTCGGCTTCTTTTGTGAAAAACAAGTTCGTTTCCAACAAACAGAAAAGGACTCTGTCACTACACCCACTACCGCCATTTTAGGCACCCAGCTCCAGGAACCTCCAAGTAGCAAAGGTCAAGGCTTCCTACCGAGGCTGCTGCTGAAAACTCGAATCCTGAAAATCCTGACACTAATCACAGGATTAGCGTTGTTCATAAGAGGCCCATCGCTAACCACTAAGCCACCAGGGATCTAGAGGTATCCGAAAGGGGGCCCGGGTGGCAATGGTTAGACGAGGAGGGTGTCGGCTGTTACCGACTTACAGCCTTGAATATACTCCTTAGGATCGCTGTGAGTCGGGCTGACAGCCTGGCGCGGATTCCGACTCAAAGCGAGCCTACAGGACCCAACAGCCTAGCCCCGGCGGGCTTCTGAGACGGAACCCAAAGCCCAGTGTTGCTCCAGTGGCGGGACTGGTGGTTTCGAACTGCAGACCTCGAAGTTAGCAGCCCGACGAGTCACCACTCCTCCACCAGGGAGGGGTCCCCTGCTTTGGGTCGAAGGTCCTACAAGGCTCTCGGAACCGGCTGGGGTCCCTGGGCGGTGCACAGTACGGGCACTCCGCGTCCAGCCAAACGGGAAGAAAGGCCTGGCGCTCTAGTCCGAAAACCCTGCCCCCCACGGAGCACGGGGCCTCTGACACACGTGGGGCCCCCGGGACTCGGTCCGCCGAGCATGTGGGAGTCGGTCCTGCTGGACCCAGACGTCCACCGGCGGGCACGGCGCGGCGCCGTCGGCGAGGGCGTGCGAAGCCGGCCCCCCGCGCTTCTGGGGGCGGCGCGGCCGTCGGCCCGGAGCCGCCAACTGCACCGGGGAGGCCGGGCGGGGAGAGTCCCGCAGGAAGAGACGGCCACCCTGGGCCGACGCCTGGCGGAACCGCAGTCCTCCCTCCGGGCCGGGATCTCCCAGGCCCGGCCAGCAGAGAGAACGCGCGCCGAGCAGTTGCTTCTCCTCCCAAATCGCGCTTCCCCAGCCGCACACGCGGGCTTCGAACCTAGCGGGCGCGCCAGTGACGTCACAGCGGAGTCCCCACCCCCTCCGGGAAGGCTATGGCGTCTACAGCGTGCCTGTTTCAGAGCACGCTGACAAGCGGGGGGTAACCGCCTCCGTGCAGGAAGAACACCTCCCATGCAACCCTCACCGCGGACTTCTCCTGTCGGGGCGCTCTCGCGCGCGGCAAAGCGCGGGCCGCTGTTTCCACCGCTTGCAGGCGGCCTTTGGGGCAGCTCCGCTCCTCGGCGAGGGGCGGGGACAGCGAGGGCGGGGCGGGGTCCTGACATGCCCGAGTCGCGCCCTGGCTCGCGCCGGGAGCGTTTCTCCGCGGCGCTGGCTCGAGGAGCCGTCGGTCAGCTCCACGGGGACCTCTGCGCACGGATGGGCCCGCCCGGACGCGGCGGGAAGCGGCCCGGAAGGCGGCGGGCCCGGTGGCCGCAGCGGAGGCAGGACGGGGCCGCAGCCGCGGGGCCCTGAGGCAGACGGGCCCGGCAGCAGCACCATGATGCCCGGCGAGACGCGCTCGGCGACGCCCGGGGCGGCTGTGGAGCTGTCGCGGTGTCAGGGCTGCGCGTCGCTGCAGCAGGTGCGTTATGGCCGGGGCCGCGGGGTGCAGGGGTCCGCTGCGCGCCCCCGCCCGTCCCGGGAACCGCTCTGCGCTGCGGGCTCGGGGCCGGGTGCGTTCTCGGGGGACGGCTAGGGCCCGGCTGACGTGGGGTGGGGGTGGGGAACGGGCGGGCCAGGGGCGATCGGGCCTCCACGGGAGAGGGTGGACCGGCTGCGAGGGTTACTTGTGGGAGCAGCGCTTCAGCGCGCCTGGTTCTCCGGGTGGGTTTGTAAGTGGGCCAAAGAACAGGCCCACCGCCTTAGCAGGCCTACCGACCTGCCCGCCTTTTCGCCAGCGATCATTGAAAGACTTGCAGACTGCAGCCTTCAGCAACCGGGAGGACGGTTGATCCTGGCAAAAGGGGAAGCTGCCATTGCCTTCTTGATGACCCCGAGAACCCGTCACCAGCCCAGACCCTCCCACCTGCACCACGGAGCGGGTCTCGGGTGCCTCCACCATGCCAGTTTCTTTATGATGCAAAAGTGCCTCCAGCCGCCGCCATTCCTGCTTCCCGCACGACCACCACGGTCGCTTTCAGGGGCCTTCACACACCCTCCTGGGCACCCGGAGGTCCCTGGCCGCCTGCTGTTTGCAAAAGGAAGATCCCCGCGTGGGCTTTACAAAGCAGTGCTTGGCCTAAGAAAAAGAAAGGGAATTGCAGAAATAGTGGTCTTGTCTCCTGCTGCTAGAGTGGTCAGGTGGCTGGGGGTGGGGGTGAAGATCTTGGCAGGGGGACCACAGCCTGGGAAGTGCCTGAAGCTTCTGGGGCCCAGAACAGGGTGGGGGTATGGGGCAAGCGGTTGGTGAGATGTGGTTAGTGGTAGGCCAGCAAAAGTGTGTTTTTACTGCAAGTTGGGTACTGAGAGCTGACCCCAAACCAAAGCCACTGCCAGAGTCCAATCTGACTGGACAACCGTATAGAGCAGCAATTCCCAGAGTGAGGTACCACCCCCTTGAGGACACTGGGACTATCCAGGGGGCTGCAAAAGCAGAGACCTAACCCTGGTGGCCTAGTGGGTTACCACTTAGGCTGCTAACTGCAGGGTCAGGAGTTCAAACCCACCAACTGCTTCCCTGGAGAAAGACAGGACTTTCTACTCCAGCAAAGAGTTTGGAAACTTGCAGGGGGCAGGTCTACCCTGTCTTGTAGGGTTGCTATGCATCAGCATTCACTCAGTGGCAGTGTGTTTGGTTTGGGGTTTGGGCACTTGATCCTGAACAACTTAGGTTTTTGTGAGGGGTGTGTTGAGTAATTTTACCCCCTTTGAGGGAGCGGTAGGCCAAAGTAAGTTTGGGAGCTTGTGCTATAAAGGGTTTTTGAGACAGCCTCTTTTCCTGAGGAGTGGTTGGTGAGTCTGAACTGCCGACCTTGAGACACCACCAGAACTAATTCAGACATTGTGAATATTGCATGTGACAGGAGAGGCTGCCCTGTGCCAGCACTCCATCACAGGGGAGGGGTGGCGTATTGAGCTCACCTGCATTGCACAGACCAGGCCTTTGGCCTCGGTTCCCCCAGACCAATTCACTCCCACCCAGGTAGTTCCCATCCAGCGATGAGGTTTCAGAGTCTGCTGTCTTTGTGGAAGCAGACAGCTTCATTTTTTCCTCCGGGATTGCCTATGGCAGTGGTTCTCAACCTTCCTAATGCCACGACCCTTTAATACAGTTCCTCATGTTGTGGTGTCCTCCCAACCATAAAATTATTTTCATTGCTACTTCATAGCTGTAATTTTGCTAGTGTTATGAATTGGGTGGTCCCTGTGAAAGGGTCATTCAACCCCCCAATGGGGTCACGACCCACAGGTTGAGAACAGCTGGGTTGTGGTTTGGCTCCTGAGTTGGCAGCCATTTGCTTAACTTGTCGGGCTGGCAGGAAGAGTCACATTGAGTTGTGTAGAGATGTTTTAATTTTTTTACCTCTGCTTCCCAGGAACTCAGTTCTCTCTAATCTTTAACAAATTGTATTTTGTGGAGGTCAGTTAATTGGCTGGGTAAGTGGAAGCTGTGTCTATGGTCAGCACTGCACGGGATATAGCAGAGGGGTCAGAACATCAAGTTTGACCTCTTGGGGCTTCCATGCTCTGGGACTAGACTGGGAAATACAGACAAGCTGAGTTAATCTGACACATTTTTTAGAAAATAAATTGGAAAATTAAGCAGACTCGCTGCCATCGAGTAGATTCTGACTCAGTGACCTTACAGGAGAGAGCAGAACTACTGCCCCCTGAGCTTCTGAGACTGACTCTTCATGGGAACAGGAAGCCTTGTCTTTAGCCCAAGGAGCAGCTGGTGGTTTTGAACTGCTGACCTTGCAGTTCATAACATAACCACTGTGCCACTTAACAGGTGAGGAAAGGACCTGTGATTGCTAGGAAGTAAACTGGCAACCCACATGGCTCCAGGGGGTGAGCTTTGTCAACATCTTAAGGGTGCACTGAGGTATGGGACCAGCTGTGGAGGCTGGAGGCTGGACATGGGTCGGGGAAGAGCAGCTGGCTTTGTGGCTGAAGGGAACTCAAAGAGGGAGCCCTGGCAGGTGGGGGTTGCAGGCCCATACTCTGGATGGAAGCACGAGTCACTGGAGGGTCCCTGCAGGCAAGAACTGGCATGGGGGGGTGGGGGGGGCACATTTCAAATCTTTGAAGTCACAGAGCTCCTAATGGAGCGAAATGCTGGAGCTGGTGGCTGCCCCTCAGCTGTGACTCAGGGCACAGTGGGACGGAGGACAACTGCCTCACAGCATGTCCAAGGCCATCCATCCTCCTGGAAGCACACAGCCTCATATTTGTCCTTGGGAGCCTCTGCTGGTATGGAAGCACTGACCTTTCACAGGGCATCACAGCATCGAGCTGCCGTGGCACCAGGGTTTCACAAATGACTTTGGGGATCTGCAAGCTTATTAGGGGCTTTTTGGTCTTGGTCACAGCTGCTCCATGTAGTAGAACAGCAGCCATGGTTAGTAGATGGGGGTGCCCCGAGCTGACCAGATTGGGTCCACACGTAGACCTGACCTTGGGGTCCAGGCGGGCACCCCCCATAGCCATCCTCAGGGAAGTGGGGGCCTGAGCTGAGTCCCCTCCCATCATAGACCCTCAGCATTAGGTGCTCCATTGCGTGTCTGTGGACTGGAACGCTGCTTCTTGGAGAAAATGGCCTGTGTGGTAACTGTCTTCTTGTGTTTTGTGCCCATTTCTGCAGGTTTGCAGGGCTTTGGTGGTCCTGGCGTTACTGTGGGAGCATTTGTATTGTGGGCAGCAGGTGGGTTGTAGCTGGAGTGGAGTGCAGGTGAGCATCGCAGGTGCAGTGGCCACAGGAGGAGCTGGGAAGTCTGGGTAGTGGAATGAGGACTGAGAAGAGAAAGGCTGCAGCTAAGTGAGGCTGGACAGAGGGGATGACCCCGCTGAGGGACTGCTGCAACTCAAGTGCGTCGGCTCCAGGCCCACACGTGGACGCCCTGGGGCAGTGACATGGGAACTGGAAATTTCCCTTTGTGCTTACTTCATCCATAGATTCCAGGACCCTCCAGTGCATTAATGTGAAGGGGCTTCACAAAGGTGTGGAGAATTTCATCATCATCTAATCACAAACTTTTTGGAGCCCCTGGGTATATTTCTACAGAGACCTGGAGCCGAAGGTCAGAGAATGAGGGAATGTGTCCTAGTACCAAGCCAACCAGGCCCACTGCATGGGGTCAAATCCAGCTGGGGTCCCTATATAGGACTCCCAAGGTACGACAGTCTTTGGTGAGCAGGCAGCACTGGCCGAGGGGTTCAGACCTTGGTAGCAGACCAGTGCTTAATCCACCTCACTTATTCGCTGCCATTGGGTCCCTGCGGATTTACAACACCGTGGCTCCAGGAGAGGAGAATGCTTCCTTGCTCCTGCAGAGTGTCTGGTGGTTATGAACTGCCAACCTGTTAGCAACCCAACGCACAACCACTGTGTCACCAGGCCTTTTATAAAAGTTGCTAAAAACCAAACCAACCTAACCCACTGCCATCAAGTGTCCCAGGCTGGAACTCTACAGGAGTAACCAGCCTCAGCTGCCCCCCACTGAGTGGCTGGTGAGCATGAACCACCGACCTTGATGTTAGGGGGCCCATTCAATACTTTTAAAGAAGTCTTAGGTTGGGTGGTTTTCAGTCCAGCTGGCACAAATCAGTGATTTGCTGCTGCTGTTGCTGCTCTGGCTTTGCTGTTTTGCAAGCTTCACAGCCAATACAAACCACTGGACCCCTGGACTCCTCTGGGCATAGGGCTGGGGCCTGCAGCCCTGGACTGGCCTGTTAGCCAGTGAGTGACAAGTATAGATGCAGTCGGCTGTTTTGACTGACTCCGGTTAGGTTTGAGAGCCCTGTTGACATGGTAGATGTGTGTTGTGGTGTGTTCTGCCGAGGGAGCCAGGATATTAGCATGTGGGGAATGATGTGGCAGTACAGAGATGCTGCAGGGCTGGGAGAAGTTTTCTGATGCGTGTTGGATTATTTCCCATCCCTGTGAGTCAGAATAGACTAAGCGGCAGTAGATTTGGACGAGCTTATCAGAGGTGCTGTGGGTGAGTGGGGTCTCGCTGCTAGCCCCGAGGTCCACAGAACAAACCCATGAGTGGCTCCTTGGGAGAAGACAAGGCTGCCTGTTCCCTGGAGAGGAGAGCCCCTGAAAGCCGATGTGGAGCTCAGCCCCAGTTAGAGCTTGGTGGGCTTCACCGGCTCTGTGCTTTGGGACGGGGACCTTTGTTTCCTGTTAGGTGTCCTTAAGTTGGTACTGACCCCACATACCAGCTGGCCCTGCGTCCTCCTTGGTCTGCCCTATGTTTGAGTCTGTTGTTGCAGCCAGGTCTCAGCTTCTCTCCTTGAGGGCCCTCCTCTCTGCCACTGCCCCCCAACTTTACCACCAAGCTTCCTCCTGATGACATGCCCAAAGTATGGGGGCTCAGCTCTTGCCAGCCTTGCTTCTAAGGAGCAGCCTGGCTTTGTGTCCCACCCACCCTCACCCCCAACAGAATTGCAGGTCCTTACAGCACCATAATCCTGGCACATGAACTCTTACTCAGCCATATGCTTTCCCTGTGGACATCCTGCTTGGTAAATGGTGATGTGATGGGAATTCGAGCTCTTGCTCCCAAGACACTAAGCTCTCTGAATCTCAACTTTCCATGGAAAAGCCAGGAGGACTTGCTGGCAGTGGCGGCAGGTCTGAGGGGTGGTTCCTGGCATGGGTACAGACCAGGGCACACCCAAAGGGCTCTCCTGTGAGTTCAAGGCCCTGTCACCAATGTGTGAGCACGTCATTGTCCTGTCTTTCCTGTGTTTGTGTCCCCCAGAGTCACCGTCAGCCTGGGTTCTCAGCTCAGTCTCCTGTGCCTCGGCGAGCCTCACCTGGCCCCTGAGGACCACAGTTCACTGGACTGGTGGGGCCTTGTAGAGGACTTGAATCTGAACTAGGAGGGAAGCTGGCTGCTTATGGAGTACTACCCATGAAACTTCAGGTCACATGGGAGGGAGACCTGAGAGAGGCCTGCCCCTCCCTTACTGGCTCCAGAAGGCTTTCTCTTGGTGGTGGTGGAGGAGAGGGCCTAGCCAGCAGCCTCACAGTCAGAGGGGAAGTGAGTGAATTCAGGTGAGTAGCAGCTTGCCCGCCCCTTGCGGAAGGGGTGGCTGGCTAAGGGGACTTAAGAAACCACAACTTAGCAGGAATGTTCAATAATAAATGTTTCAAGACTTTTTTAAAAAAACAAATGGTATCGACAAGCTTGGCCAGCTGTAGTAAAGGCGCTGGCCTTCCCCATGTTCAGGGGCGCTCCGTTCTACTAACTCCTCACCATTGAGCTGAGACCGGGCGCCCACCAGGGAAGCACGTGCAAGCTGTGCCCAACCACCGGACTCCCAGAGGGTCAGCTGCACTTGCTGTTGGAGAGGTGATTCCCACTCCAGTGACCCTGCAGGGGATGGTAGAGCTGCCCCTATAGGTTTTCCGAGACCGTGACTCTTGACGGGACTAGGCAGCCTGGAGCAGCTGGTAGGTTCGAACCACTGACCTTTTGGTCAGTGGCTCAGTGTGCAGCCCTCTAAGCCACCAGGGTGGTTATGCTCAGCCATGTGATGTTGGCCTTGTTCTCGCACCTAGTGATTGCTGTCATTTTCCTCTCTGCTTTCATTCTGCGCCCCTTCTGGTGGTCAGTCAGTGACTGAGCATGGGCACCAGTGCCCTTGCCTTAACTCGGTGTCTGAGAGCCAGTGCTCCAGGCCACAGAGTTGCCCACTCCCACATAGTGCATGCTTGGCAGGGGAGTCTGGGTCTGTGCGCATCTCCACTCACTGCCTTTGGCCATCCTGTGGTGCTTGTGTGTTCCTGGAAGCCATGCTTCGGTTTCTGGAGAAGGACATCATGCTCGATGAAGTAGAGGGTCAGCGAAAAACAGAAAGGCCTCCACACGATGAATGGACGCAGGACTGGGTGGTGTTTCATCCTGTATGCGTAGGAGCCTGTGAGCCAGGGCCCGCATGGCAGCACCGGACATCAATAACAGCGTGTGTTTAACTCATTCATCGGTTTGTCTCTCGTTTGTTGTAAGTATTGTAAAAACAGACAGGAAATCATGTGTTACGGAAACACAGAGTTGACTACAATGTGCTTTTTCTTCCAGAATTTAAATGAATATGTGGATGCACTAATTATCTTGAAGCAGAAGATCATTAATACTGAGTAAGTCTACCTGCACGCGTTTCGGACTGTGAACCCAGCTTCCCGAGCGGGTGGGTGGGGAGTGAGCCCTGGGGTGGAGGTGGGGCTGCCGGTGCCTCACTGGTGTGGATCAGAATGAGACTGCTCCTTCGCCAAGCCCTCAGCATCCTCACGTTTGTTACATTGGGAGCGTGCCTTGCGTGTTTTGCACATGATGGGTCATAGGGTGTATTTCCTAGGGTAACAAAGGAACTTTCCTCTTTGCTCTGTTGCAGTAACTTGTTGACAGAATACCAGAAGAAATGCGATGATATCCTTCCACTGGCTTCTCTTTTGAATTTATTCACGGGGGTGGGGGGTGGTTCTTGGATGCGGGGGATGGGGGGGTTCCCATGACTGTCTTTGGGCAGGTGATATTTCCGTGAGCTGTTGAGTGGGCTCTGGCTCACAGCGACCCTCTGTACCACAAAAGGACACCCTGGCCGGGCCTGGGCCATCCAGTGTTTCTCTGAGTAGAGGCCCATCTCACAAGCATCTGTTGGGGGTGGGTGGGGTTCTTGGCAGGTCAACAACATGCATTACCAGGCTTTCATATGTTGCCCCAAGAATCCCTCCCCTGAACTGTTTTTGGTCACCCCCAAACCTAAACTTTCCCCCATGAACTTAAAGGCCGCAGACCTTTTGGGGGTGCCCTGCAGTTCACGATTCCCCTCACAGGATTCCGGGCTGCCCCGCAGTGTGTCCATGTGCTACATTAAGAGGGAGTCTTGGCAGAAGAGTCAAGGGCCGTCCTGGAGAGCTCTCTCTTTGTGGGGAAAGTCCACAAGTCCCCCTTCCTCATCCTAGTTTTCCAGGAGCTGTGTGAAGCCTCCCTTCGGTGTATTATTGTAGTAACTACTTGCTGAGTACTTAGTACCGTGCTTGGTGATGGATAAAATGCGAAACAATCTTGCTTTGTATTGTATGGATTTATTGTTATCCTTAAAGGGGTTCGAAAAAGTTCCTGGCAAAAAGAATGAAAAGAGAGTAGAATTATTCTAGGGACCCCATTTCTAGTTCATTTAATCCTAGTGAATAAGATATTTAATCCAAGGGTCTGTTTTTGTGTGTTTTTTCACAAGAAACCACTTGACTTCAGAGCATGCCCTGGTGAGTGGGGTGACTCACGGCACAGTTTTATTGCTGTGATAAATGGGGCTTGGACTGTTGTTTTCTTGGGTTTGTGATCACCTCTCTGTTGACAGAGCCAACAGATGATTACAGGTACTTACTGAGTCCCCTCCAGCCAGTACCAATAGGCAACGTTCTCGGAATTTTCCTTAACCAGTGTTTACAGCTGCAGTTCGCAAGAAGGTAAGCCACCTGTCTTACTCAGTAGCTGAGAGTGCCACCCGAGTGAGCCGGTGATGGAGGGTAGCGCTGAGCAGAGAGGGGTTTCTGTAAGACATTCACATGAAGTGCCTCGTGGGATGGTCATACAGACACTGCTTTCCTATGCATAGTTTTTTTAAAAAGCTTGCTTTTCCCTCACAATCAGATTGTCCACGTGTGCTTTCAACCCAGGTTTTGATTACAGTCCGGCCTTGTAGTTCCCATTAACTGACTGCATGACCACTGAGATGAAGTTCAGTGACATCACGTTGCTACTGTCTCCGGGAACTGCCCCCGTCAGTATGGCCGTCCCTGGAGTTACTTTCACAAGTTTAAACAGAGTCCCCGAGGGCTCTGGTCGCACTTCTCACTGGGAAGACGCAGCCCTCGTCCACCTTGCGGAGTGCACAGACTCCCCTGGTGTTTGCTTTGAGCGGGGTCCAAGGTCAGGGTCGGACGAGCTGGGCTGCCGACTATGGCTGCTCCTCGGTTGTCTCTACAACTTTGCTAAACTGCAGAGCACGGTGGCACGGAAGTGACAGGCAGATGGAATAAATAGAGTGGGTTTCTAAAGAGAAAGATCTTTTGTTTTGTTTCCATTTGTTTGACTCTGTAAGTTACAGAGGAAACTGGAGCTGGCAGGACGATGTCCTGACCGCCTGTGTGTCCTTTTGTACGCTAACGTCTATGCGTTGTCCGCTTTCAGGGAGAACAGCACTCTGCATCACCAAGTGGAACAGATGCTTCAAAAGATCTCTCCCCTGCAGAAATGCCAGGAGGAGCTGGGCTCGCTGAAAGCGGAGCTCGAAGAGAAAAAGGTACATAGAGCTCTTCTCCTGCAGGGCTGTGTCTGGCCACTGAGGATGTGCTCACTGGCCGTATCTGCCGCCAGGTGGAGAGGGAGGCGCCAGCCCCCAGGGTGGTCTCAGAACCGGGGTGGGCAGTGCGGTTGTTGGTCCTGTCACATGGCCTGGGGCTCATGCTCTAACAGGTGCTGTGTAGGCCCCATGGGGGCAGCGTGGGTGCTGGGTCCCGCTTAACGAGCCCTTCCTGGCTTTTTCCTCACGTTGTTCATGCCATGCGGACAAGCTCACCCTTCAGGGTGGAGGCATCAGCCTGTGTGTGTGGGGGGGAGCCGTGCAGCCGCAGGCCTTCCCCCGGGGTCCAGGCCTTCAGAAGGTGCGTTGTCCTGGCAGGAATGGCCCTCTCAGCTGCCAAGCATTGTCCGGATAATTCTGCCTCTGTCTGTCCGTTGTAAACAGTTATGGGTGAGTGCTCGGTCTCTGCTGGTTTGTTTTTCGCCCTCAGTGAGATGAGCCCCAGAAAAGCACCCCGACTGCCTGGGAGTCCTTCCCGACTCTGTGACCCCAGGCCGAGCAGAATTTCCGCTCGGGCTGCTGAGAGGACCGTCACGGGGGCAGGCTTCTACCCTTCCCTCCCTTGGAGCGACTGATGGGCTTAGACCACCTGGCCTGCAGTAAGCAGCCCAGCGCTTAACTCCCAGCACCACCAGGGCTCCTGGGTATCCCAGACACGCCTGCAAAACTGGGAATCAAGCATTCACACAGGTCCTTGAGTCCGTGCCCTCAGTGACACTGAGCTGAGACAAGGCCTGTGTGGAAGGAAGGGGCCTATGAGAAAGCGACAGCACACAAACTTAGCACTTCAGTCTCCCGTCACACTTAGACAGGGGGCCACTTGATGATGAAGGTTAGAATCTTCTTTCACAGATAAGTTCCTGATGTGGATAAACCTGAGCCGGGGACCAGCTGGCTCGCAGCCCACGGCCTTGTGCTGGGCTCCACGTGGGGCTTGTCCCCCAGGCGCTTTCCATGGCCGCGTCTCCCGTGCGCCTTCCTCAGACGGTCTCCCAGCACCGCCGCCCTGGGGGAGGCCGTAGGCATGGCACGCAGCAGCGGTTCGCTTCTCCACTTCCACAGAAGTCTCTGACTGCG